CTGCTGAACGCGAAGCAACCTGAGGTGAACGTCGGCGGCGTGAACTCTGACCTCACTGGGCTGGTCTTGGAGATTTCTGATTCCGAGGATGGTGCCGAGCTGACTGCAGGAGGCGAGCAGCTGCCAGAGGAGCCGCCTGAGGAGCTGGCTGCAGGAGGCACGCGGACGCCAGAGGGGCCGCCTGAGGAGCTGGCTGCAGCAGGCGCGCAACAGCTCGAGGAGCCGCCTGAGGAGCTGGCTGAAGGAGGCCAGCACCCGCTCGAGGAGCCGCCTGAGGAGCTGGCGACAGGAGGCGCGCAGACGCCAGAGGAGCCGCTTGCTGCAGGAGGCCCGCAGCCGCCAGGACCGCCCGTGGCCATGGCGCAGCCTCCGCAGAGCAAGGTCGGCCCGCCTGCGAAGTTCAAGGGCATCCCGCCCCCGGCGCTGCCGCCGAGCGCACAGACGCTGCTGATGCAGGCCAGGGGGCAGCTGCCGCCGCCGCCGCGAGTGAAGGCGAGTGCTGCGGTGGAGGAGGAGCCCGCCACGAAGCCTGCTGAGGAGGAGCACGAGGCTGAGGCCGAAGAGGAGCAGGCAGAGAGCACGACGCCACCGCCCAAGAAGAAGGCAAAGGGTCCGTCGAAGTCGAAGGCGCTGGCGACCACGCCGCCAGTGACTGCGAAGAAGCCGCCGCCAATGAAGGGCCCTCCGATGAAGAAAGCGAAGTCGGTGGCGGAGGAGCACTCACCTGCGGCTTCGTCAGGGGGTTCTGCGGAGGCGCCATCGGTGGGCTGCGGCAAGGCTGGCAACAGGAACCTCGTTGACCCTGCCGACTGGAACATCAGGTACGCTGAGGTGTTGAAGCTCATGCCGCAGGAGGCCTGGCCGGACATGGCCCCCCATGGCGAGCACGGCTGCACCAAGAAGATCGTGATGGGGCTGAGGTCCCACGTGGTGCGCATCGAGGTGCCGAGAGGGGTCCTCTCTTCCTCCTCCTCCTCCTCCTTCTCCTCCTCCTCCTCCTTCTCCTCCTCCTCCTCATCCTGATCCTCCTCGTCTTCATCCGCCGTCTCCTGCAGGTAGAGAGATACCGTGAGATATCGTGAGATAGCATAAGATATACCTTTGGTGGTGATGGTTATGATGATGGTGATGATGATGATGAGGATGGTGCTGATGAAAGTGATGATGCTTGTGATGGTGATATGAGGATGTTGATGATACTGATGATGGTGCTGATGATGGTGATGCGAATGGCGATCATGCTGACGATGATGATGATGATGATAATGATGATGATGATGATGATGATGATGATGATGATGATGATGATGACAACGATGCTGATACTGATGCTGGTGGTGATGCTCATGATATATGGTGATTGTCATGATGATGCCGATGATGATGGCGGGACCCCATCCTGCTCCACCTCCTCCTGCTCTTCCTTCTCCTCCTCCTCCTCCTCGATCTGGTTTCGCAAGATACCGTGAGAAACCGTGAGAAATCGTAAGGTCCCCCATCCTCCTCCTCCTCCTCCTCCTCCTCCTCCTCCTCTTCTTCCTCCTCCTCCTCCTCTTCCTTCTCCTCCTCCTCCTCCTTCCCTCCTCCCCCCCTCCTCCTCCGACTCCTCCTCCTCCTCCTCCTCCTCCTCCTCCTCCTCCTCTCCCTCCTCCTCCTCCTCCTCCTCCTCCTCCTCCTCCTCCTAGCGTTGTGGCGACACCCCTCCGATCGTTCTATATCTCGTTCGCTCTCTCCTGCACCCGCAGGTGCTGGTGAGGGCCAAGAGCTTCAGGGTCGCGAAGCCGGTCATGCCGACCCCGACTGTGAATTGGGGCTCTGACATCAACAATGCCTGGGACACGGCGAAGCAGAAGGCCATGGATTTCTTCGTGGAGAACAAAATGGAGCCCCCGCCGGCCAAGTGATTAATCGCAAGGGGTAATGGGGTGCGCCGCCGCCGCCGCCTCAGGGGTGCAAAACAAGCTTCCCTTTCCGCCACCCCCCCGTTAAAACTGATGCGTCCTGGGCCCAGAGAGCGGCGGCGGCGGCGGCTGACTTCCTTGCCCCTTGCGGCTCTGATCGGATAGCGACTCGCACGATGACGGGGATCCATTGCGACAGCCAATCTTGCCTCCCCCGATCGTGGCGCTGTTCGTTGGCCCCATGAATGGAGGGAGGCATCATGGCCGTTGCAATGCAATCCCCCTCTTGCTAGAGAACCTCTGGCGCACAGACGTTTCAACTTGCTCAGCGGGTGCTGGTCGCGAGATTAGCGTCTGGACGTGCGCCCCTCGATCTCGTGAGCTCGTGCTGCGGCGCGACGCCCACGCGGTCGGGACCGCGGCCTGCATGTGAGATCGTGCCTCGGCATGTATACTCACGCAGTCGTGGTCTCGGCCTCGTGGGCTCGAGCTTCGGTACGATGCCCACGCGGTCGCGTTCGCATATCTTCTCGTGAATGACGCGCAGTGCCCGACTGGCAAGATGAGGAGGAGGGGGGGAGGAAGGATGATGATGAAAAGGAGGAGGGAGGAGGGAGGAGGGAGGAGGAGAGGGAGGGAAGAGGAGGAGGAGGAGGGGCAATCGATAAGATGCATCCCCCCAGCATCCCCACCCCCTCTGGGAAAATTCCAATGAGCTTTGCAGGGGGACGCGTCGCAGAGCTATTCAGGCCCAAGGGAGATCTCAGTTTTGTCCAAGTTTGCTCCAACATGGACGATTCATCGTCGTCGTCTGATCGGGAGTTGGATGATGCCATCGAACTTGTGGTGGACTCTGACAGCTCTGAAGAACAGGCCGCCATGGCAAATTCTCCGCGCCCTTCGCTGCTTAGCCAGGCGGCCGAGATCAAAGCCTCCAAGGTTCTCCCAGGCACCAGGGCCCGAACTGTTCGATTCGACTCTGCCCAAAACATGCTTATTCCTCAAACACGTGATTGCAACCGCGAAAATTTAGATAGCGATTTTTTTTTTTTTTGCAAGCAGCACCATGTAGATTGCACCCGCGTAGCTTGCATCGCTGTTCGGGGTCCACGCCCGCTTCCAAGGGGGGGTCATATCAACATTCCTGGAGGCATCCTTCTCGCGATCATGTGGTTGCTCCTGGGGCTCAATGGGGCCCCCACTCGCGTTGACAGCGTGGAGCTCTTCGCTGGCTGCCGGTCTGTCACAAACGGCGTGAGGAGCTATGGGTGCTCGGGAGTTGCACTCGACTTCAAAACCATTTCAGATCAGGACGATATCACTAGCACAGATGGGTTCCTGCGGGCTCTCTTGTACGTCATGTGCTTAAAGCCAGGGGGTCTACTTTGGGCAGCACCTCCATGTTCAACATGGGTGTGGATAGGGAGGAAGCAAACAGGGCGCCATCACAATGTGTTGGGTAATGGCATTGACTGCGTGGAGCGAGCAAACTTACAAGTATGTAGAGTTGTGCTTCTGGTCGTCGTGGGAATGTTGATGCATAATTGTATGATGATCGCAGAACAACCGAGTTCTTCAATATTTGAGAAACACCCCCGGTGGCAGGAACTTTGCGCGATTTGCCGCGGGAGGATCTTGGACACAAGGATCTGGATGGGGCCCTATGGGGCTGGTTCGCCGAAGGCAACGATTCTCTATTCAAACACGCCGAAAATCGAAGAGCTGTGGAAGCCCAGGGGCCAAAGCTCAGATTCATCGATTTCTACAGTGAGGTACGACGCCGGATCCAGTGGCAACGTCCGCGTGCATGGCACGTCTGATTTAAAAGGGACTGAGGCGTATCCAACTGGTTTTGGTACTGCGGTGGGCTCTCTGTTTGTCAATTACCGTTGCGCCGAAGATGGTTTCGACATCTCCCAGATCAGCTTGCAAGACGACTGTAGCGAAGATCAATGGCCCGACGCCAAGTTAGAGTCTGTCTTCCTAGAATTGCAGCGCCTGGTGCTCGAGAAGAGGCGCAGCCGCGCTTCGCCCTGAATCTATGAGTAGATTCGGCAGTGCCGCGCTGCAGGGGCGCACATAGTTTGAAGCGCAGGCCGCCAGCCGCTGTCTTCTCGCCCAAAGTTCTTGCAGGACCCATGGGAGCATCGAGCGCCAGTTTGGGAGTTCACCCATGGGGGCATCGAACACCAGTGTGGGAGTTCTTGGGCCGCCCATGTGAGTTCGAGAGCCCTCCCCCTACAAAGAAACCTTGATCCAGGAATCCCAGGTGGCATCACTATATCCCCCTCCCTCTTTTGAGCTGGCTGGCGAGTCGCAGCAACGGCGCTGCAATGCGCGCCTGCACGCCGTGAGCTACCGTGAGAAACCGTGGGAAATCGTGCTGGTACCATCCGCGCAAGAGAGTGCCCTGGAAGATGACGCCAGGCGCACTTGAGATGACAGGGGGGAGGAGGAGGAGGAGGAGGAGGAGGAGGAGGAGGAGGAGGAGGAGGAGGAGGAGGAGGAGGAGGTTGCTGCAGGACGAGGATGGAGAGGAAGACACTGGTGAGGATGAGGAGACATAAAGCTATGATGATGATGATCCGCGGATGGGAAGGAATACACATACAAGAAATCAAACAACATGATATTGATGAGACAACTTGCAAACCATGTTTGGTGTGCACAACATACCATGAAAAAACCGTGAGAAACCGTGAGAAACCGTGAGAAACCGTGAGAGGTGCATCGGAGAGGTTTCACTGTCTGGACTGGAATGCGCTTGTTCAACATTTGTCGCGGTCTCCCTATCCCCCCCTCCCTCCTCCTCCTCCTCATCCTCCTCCTCCTTCTCCTCATCGTCCGTTTCCTTATATTCCTTCTCCTCCTCCCCCGCCCAAATCTTCCTCCTGCCTCTCATCCTTCTCATGGCTACCGTGAGAAACCGTGAGAAACCGTGAGAAACCGTGAGGGGTGCGTGCGGCTGCGGTTCTTAGCCAGAAAAGTTGTCGGCCGTTTCTGGAAGGCCTCTCCGCGCAGCAATTTGGCTGCGAATTTATCTGGGCGACCAGCCCGTATTATATAATGTTAGGCGGCTCATGTTTCTTGACAGCGTTCAGGCCTGGGCTGCGCTGGATATCATTTGCACTGTTGGCGCGTCTGTCCCTGGGATCAGCTGGCAGCAGCTCGCCCATGTTCGGGGACGTCGTTTCTGGCGCCATCGACCTCGAGGCAGACCTGGGAAGCCCAGGCCTCTCAGGCAGCGGCCGCGCTCACGTTCGCGATCTAGCGAAAATTATTGCGTGTCGTTGCCCACTGAATCGTTCAGCCTCAGCGAAGACGATCTCGATGAGTTCCCAAGTGGCGACTGCTCTTCGAACACTATATTGCATTCAAACCTCGTCGTCCCTCAACCACGCCCGACCAAACACGTGCTCCATCTCAACTGTCCCCTCTCTCCTGTAACTCTTCCCTCTAATTTCCTCACACCATGCGGTGCCGTGTGGTGCCGTGTGGGATTGTGCGATATCGTGAGATATCGTGAGATATCGTGAGATATCGTGAGGTAATGGGTATGCCCTGTGATGCACCCCCATGCCGTGCCGTGAGATACCGTGAGATACCGTGAGATATCGTGAGATATCGTGAGATATCGTGAGATATCGTGAGATATCGTGGCAACTGCAGTGTGGCAATGTATAGGTGTATCCCATTCTGGTTGGGGGTTGTCGATGTGTTCTGTAATACCACTGTACAATGTCATGATATACCGTGAAATACCGTGAGATATCGTGAGATACCGTGGCATATGCAATGTGCTTGTCACTGTATGCTGGACTGCCACCGTAACGTGCCGTGAGATACCGTGAGTTACCGTGAGTTACCGTGAGACATCGTGAGTTGCGTTGTGCGATGCCACTTTTACTGTGTGATGACTTGTGGTATAGCAATATATTCGATTATATACCATGTATGCTTGTTACGAACAGTACCAGTAGTGTGTGTGAGGTCCGATATCATCTGTTGGGGGCTGGGGGGATCGTTGAAACTGTCCTGAAATCGGTTTCCCTTCAACCATTGATTGCGCGCTAAACATGCCAACCCCCTTGACACTCCCCCAAGTACCGTGAGTTACCGTGAATTACCGTGAGATATCGTGATGAACCGTGAGGGTACCTGGCATGCAGCTGGGCTCGAGCCATTCACGCAGTTTTTCCGTGGGGATCTCAGCCAGGGGTCGCCACAATGGCGATGAGGTTCCTGAGAGACGCGACTGGCAAGGTAAGACGGTACCCAATACACGCCACGTCCCTGTCAATGATTCCTCTCCTCCGCCCCCCTTCGCTCCCCAGCCTCCGATGAGCTCATCGGAGGGCGTGGGAGTGAAGATGAGCTCGGAGCTGAGGAGATGATGATGAGAACATGGAGGTGATGAGACACTGCCCCTCATCTCTCCTCCTCCTGCACTCCACCTCCCACCTCCTTTTTTGCCGAGGTGATGACTGACTACAACGGCAAGATCATCATGGTCCCAGTCGCCAGCGCTGTGAAGCAGGAGCGTGGCACCTGGTCTGAGCGTGATCCTACTGCCAATGATGATGGCAGCGGCCAGCCCGACAAGACTGCCACCGCTGACGGGAGCATCGCGAGGGCGAGCGCAGGCGGCGAGGGAGAGAAGAACATCAACGAGCGTCAGACCACAGAGGGGACTACCGGGGGCACCACGCACGCGCTGGCCAGCTGCAAGCGCGACGCCAACATCGGCGCCACCAAGCACGAGATCACCACTGGTCACACCAGCAAGGGAGACGTGAAGGCCGAGAACACCAGCGGCACCAACATCAAGGGAGAGATCAAGACCGAGATCAAGCCAGAGCCGCCAAACTCCGTCCTCACCCACAACGGGAAGACGTACTTCCTAACGGCCGAACACCTGGCGATCATCGCCCAGTCTGCGGCGTGGTGTCCTGCCAGCGACCGCCACCTTTCAGGGCCTCGCGCAGCTGCGCAGCAAGCTGCTG